TTACCACGGGCTCCATTATTTATTCATTCTCTCTAGAAATTTCAAACTGGTAGTCTTCCGGACTGCTAAAACTGCAAAGCTATTTTCCAATTCTGGTATGATTAATAAATTAATTTAGTAAAATTAGTAACATACACTGTGAGACAGGATTTTGTTTTGATGTTTTCAAGTTGTGAAAAAAAATATACTAGTTAAATTACAAAACTTAAGCAGACAATCTGTCTTGAATTGCTAAGTAACTTTAAAAGATTCTCATTGACTGTGATGCTTCGGAAGATTATGTGTTTATCATGATTACAAAAAATTCTGAGAGAAATAAATTAGTGGATAGTAGTCTTTATTGTAGCTAGTATGAGATGGATAACCATGTACGTTTACAGCGTGATATATTAGCGAGAACTAGTCGAATAACCATAGTAAAGTAGCATAGATAACGCGCGCAAGCTTACCTTGTAACTAGTAGAACTAACTTAACGAAATAGATGCTTGAAATAGCTTTTATGATGTAGGAAACACAGCAGGAGGAAATTCTTTACAAATGCGGCTGAGTAATAAGAATACGTGTATCTTACTTCTAGTTAGCGTAGCTCTGCAATATAATCCAACCCAACAGAGTATAACGAGATTTCCACAGTGTAAATTGTTAGCTACAGATAATACATAGCATATTTTGAGTTATACTACAGTGTAGTGAATATTAACTTTTACTCTACTAAAAATAGACTATACCGTATTTAAAAGTACACTCTACATAAATCACAAATCAATCAAACTACCAATTAATGAGATAACTCATGATTATCCCAAACTGTTCTTCTCTTCTCTATCTTCAACTTCACTAAACCATCGAACTACGCCACCTTTTATGTGCTACGCAGTGCAGTTGGTGACATTAAACTATCCAACTATCATTCTACATTACTCCAAATTAAACTAGCAATCAAGCACACACATTAATTATATATTAATATAATCGTAGTTTAACTTAAAAATTATAGATTTTTACAGTATACGATAAGATAGAACAACAATCTTAATTAGAGTACAGATCGAACACTCGGTTTCATACAGCATGAAATCATAAAATGACATTAACTTTTACTGTAATCGATGATCAAAATTAGCCACATATATACTCTATTACAACGTTTGAATTATAATCTCACGATATCTTACTGTTAAAAAAATCATGCTATCGATTATCTTAAATTCTTGCCCGAATAAAGCAGTCGGATTTACAATATACCAAGATACTAACTAAAATCTTCTGTTGTAATCAACCAAATAATCATATTTTTAATGCTAGAATAAGTACAATACAAGCACTTGAAGGAGAATTATAAAAATTAACTTTCATTAAATTATAAAAACTATTATTTCTGTTTTCTTTAACTCGATAGCGAAGTATGATTAGAAAACTGACCTACATGACCAGCATTTCTGCAGTGGAACAAATTGCGATTACCTCAACGTTTGTAAATGAAAATTTTCACATCATTACACGTTCAAATTTATTATAGTCCAATTACTCTTACTACTTATGATGTCTGACCATAGAAATATCATCATGAAGTAATAGATAAAATGGAAGCTTTCCGCGACCTTCGGTTTTAATCACAGTTACTTCTATA